ACACAATTTTTGGGCTTTACTATCCATCATCCAGAGTTGATAATGCTCAAAAAGATAAAGTTATAGACACTGAAGTGCCTTGAAAAAAATTGTACCACACTGAATTTTTTTTTTTTCACATACAAATACTTGAAATCAGTCCTGGAGCAATCCAGAAAAGTAATGGGTTGAAAGTCACATGTCTCATGAGTTTATATTTCAAATCTGTAGATACCACGAAAAATGAGATTTCTGCAACCATATTTTAGTCATCATGCATACCACTGCATAGTTTTTTAATTATAAAACAATAGACAGAATCTTAGACATTGTCTAAGTGATTTATTTGAGCACTAGAAAAATACAATAAGAATAATTTGAGTAATAAAAAGAAATAAGAAAAAAAAAGAATTAACTATGTATGCCAAGTACATACTGTGATTGCAGCATTCACACTGATAGGGCTTTATATGTCAAGTAAATATTTTGATTGCCAGACATACAGCATTCACACTGATTGCTGGTCATACAGTCAGTAATCACATGTTGATGTGCGGTCATACAGATGGTAATCATGCAGATACAACCACTTCCCCACAAAACACACACATGTATGAAAAATGTTGAATAGGAAAAAAAAAAGAATTGTTTGTGCAAAAAGCCGATCGCTATCAGATGACAGGTGCTTCACAACGTGCATCACGAGCAGTCACAAGAGAGCGCCAGAATTCAAATAAACAAGATTCTGCGTATCTTTGACTTTTTTTTAGTGGATGGTCTCATTCTGTTTGTGACACTGTATGCTACAAAACCATGTTACTTTTTACTACCAAGACGCAGTTTTTTTGAGCGCAAGTTATTCCATAACGGATACAAACAATAACTCTCCCCGAAGAAATGAGATGTAAACAAAGGAATTACCATCCATATTACAACGTTGTTTCGTTGGACTAAAAGTGCTGTATGGGATATTGTTCAGTTGACCCTTACCTTTCTAACTAAACCGGGATTTACAGCAGTGGATGCGTTTGTGACTCGTTATTACGATGAATCTGGTACGTACTGCGTTTTTATAATGCATGTTTTGATGTGTACTGCGTGCTTACACAAATTTAGCAAATACATTCCTTATAAGCTTTCCATTGAAAAACAGCGATCTATCGTCGATGCTTGAGGCTTAGACCTTTAGAATGATATATATAGTTTGTCAATATTAATTTTGTCCCTTTTCATTTAATCTATTCGTAAACATTGACACGTGCAAACAAAGTGTGTTCAGTGTGCTGGCGTCCAGGTGCGGGTTAACAGGTTAAATGTTCATGAAACATTTTTGTAGAACTGTTGCTGGTGGTGCCAAATTATACTGAATACAAATTGCATGACTCTCTCTATAAGTGCCTTTTTCATAATGTACCAGTATTTTTTTTTTCTTTTCTTTTTTTCAGTAAAGAGAATGAGGGTAATGTTCTTAATGTGCAGTTGCATTAGCAAAATAATTTTGGTCCTTTGTCAATAGTGTGTGAATACTCCCATTACAAAGAAATTCCTTTCAAACCCAACTGCTTTCTGTTTGAACTTGAACCTATTGTGAAATCTATTGCCCTCACATGAAATTCCAGATCACATTAATTACTCCAGAAAGACTGCATTACCACAAATATTTGCTGAACAACAGTGACTGGTGTGTGAATGTTTATTCCATTCTTTTTTTTTCCCTTTTGGAATATAAAATTCACCCGTGTATGTTTTCAATAGATTTTGTAACTTCACCTTAGACTTATGACTGTTAGATCAGTCATATACATTAATATCCCTGTCATAACTAACCACTAAACGCCTAGTTCTACCCTTCATGTCTGCTCATATTATTGGCTCACTAACCGTGTTTAGCACTCATATCTGCTGCTTGTTGTTTCCTCTTCCTCACTCTCGACCTTTGTCTCTTTCTCTGTCTCTTCTTGCTTTCCTCTCTCCCCTTCTCCTTTGGCTGAGTTCAGATCCCTCTCTGGCAGGGAGGGAGAGGCAGGGGGGTGGGGGAAGAGGTGCAGGTAGAGAGAACGGACGTCTCTCGCTGCACGGAGCTCCTCTCACCTCCCAGCGCTATCCTGGTGAGTCTGAAACGCAGGGCTGTTTCTGTTACACCTCTTGTCTTTGTCTTAGCCTGGCTGGTTGTGTTTTAACAAGGCATGAAGCATGTAACCTTTGATGTAATGCTACTTCAACCTTTGACTCGGTGTCCTAGACAAAAAAAACAACTGCAAACATTCTGGGATCGATCTGTGATTATCATTAAGTGATTTATCACAAGAATGATATGAAGTGTTGTTCTTCCCAGCGCACCAGAAAGTGTTTTTGGCGGGAGGGGGAATACTTTTCATGTGTGTCCCCCTCCCACTAAAGCTGACTGTCTCTTATTTTGGTATCTAATCTTGTCTCTTTTTTTGTTGTTGTCTAGCGGCTGCCTATTATCCTGCAACACAGCAGTACCCAACATCAGTGTCCGCCACGTCTGTCATGATACCCGCTCAACAGCAACCAGCTCCACCTCCACAGCAAGCTCCACCTCTGCAGTCAGGACCAGTCAAACCGAGAGAGCGCAAACAGGTGGGTGGGAACAACATTTGGTGTGTTTTCATTTTTGATCCATTCGTCTGTGACTTACCAGCTGTTTCACTACAGATCAGAATACGTGACCCCAACCAGGGTGGACGTGACATCACAGAAGAGATCATGTCTGGTGGGAGAGCGACCTCCACACCCACTCCTCCACAGGTTTGTTGATGGCTTCATGTGTTTATAATGACATGAGCATGGCAAAAATTACATGCTGCTTTTAAAAGATTGTTGTTCTTACTCAGACTGCTGGTCCAGAGGTGGGAGGTCCTGTCCAGACCAATGGTGAAAGTGTTCCACCTGTTGCTGCTGTGATCAGAGCTGGTGAGTGGGCTTTCTTGCAAATACCCAAACAGGTTTTTGACGTTAAAGTCTGGGTTCCCACCATCCTGAAAAATGTGGAAGTAATCAGGGAGTTTCAAAAGTGATTTCAATGGCTCAAAATGTCAATGGAATAAAAATTGTGGCACCAGAAGTTTTAAAGCTATCTAAATACAAACAAGGTCAACCCGAAGCAATGTTAGTAAGAAGTACATTTTATTTGGAGCAGTACTTGATTTTTATACACTGGAAGTTTATTTCATTATGAAAAGTGAAGTTTTTCTTAAGGAGAAAATGACTGACAGACTTTGGTGTTATCTGATTTTATGACACTTTTTGCTGAAGAATCAAAAACACCTCAAAGGCCATCTTTTTGTGCTTCCTTTTTTTGTCACAGTAAGCTTGACTGAAATGCAGCACTCGGTACCTTCACTTTTAATATGTGGTGTATTTTTTTTATTATTATTTATAAAGTGCCTGTCTCAAGATGGAGTATTCTGTTGTAATTTGCCTGCAAATTCAGAGAAAAGTCACGTCAAGCATAACTGACTTGTTTTGATCAATAAGTGGTGTCACTTCAGTGTCCTCATTCACATTCCTATGAGTAATATGTATAAGTAGTGTTATATTTTAATGCTTAATGTTTAAAACAACTCAAACATCATTTTGTGAAACATCTTAAGTTGGAGGTTATCTTAATATTTTAAGACGTTATTTATGCTGATTTCTAGGGACATTCCTATCAGGAATTCAAATTTGTAAGTTTTGTCTTTAGAACAATCTTAAGAAAAGAGATCGTCAAAACGTTTTTGTTTTTAGGATTAAAAAAACAACAACCGTTCTTTAGAAAATTAGAAGGAAAATAGCTAATAGCAAAGAAGAATTTCATTCTAAAGAATGCTTTGTGAATCTAGCCCAGTTTGAAAGTTAAAACAGCTGTTTTTGTTGTTGTTGTTTTTTTGTTGCACTTATTTTTTGTACTGGTTTTCCTGCCCTTAATCCTCAGATGATCAAGTGAAGTCCATGTCTCCTCCTCCAGCTGTGTCCACCCCTCCTCCATCAAAGACGCCAGAGCAAGCCCCCGTTGCATCTTCAGCAGCTGACTCTAAACCCGTGCCAGAGATCAGACCTGCTTCACCTGTGAGCAAGATTCCCATTCCTCCAGAAGAAGACCCAGCAATATCCCCAGCACTCACACCTTCTCCTCCTCCAGCAAGCAATCCCCAACTTTCAAAGCCTCAAACTGGTGACAGTGTGGATGCTCCAGTACTCCCTGATGCCCCAGTTCAAAAGAAGGAGCCTGAGGACGCCCCTCCAGTGGAGCCAACTTCTACTGGGATTGAGAAAGAGGAGTCAGAGGTAGCCAAAGAGAAAGAGCCTGAACCTGTGGCCGAAACGGAGGCTGCATCTGATTTATCTAGCCCGGCTGATATCATCTCCACCCCTGTGGAGCCTCCTCCTGCTGTAGCTAATGATGGTGACGTTGCTTCTGAGGACACCGCCCCTCTATCCACGGAGACACCCATTCTGGAGCCAGTCGTTGATGAGCCAAAGGAACAGCCTTTGCTTAATGGTTTGCCTGAGGACTCTGCAGAGGCTCCAGTAGTGAAGCCAGAGAGCTCCACTAATCCAGTTGCTGAACAAGCGGTTCCTCAAGTTCAACAGAGCTGCCTTATGGCTGCGGAAGCACCTGTAGAGGAAGCAGAGAAGGAGAAAGCAGAGGAGACGCCTGCCCCTGTAACAGTCTGCCCTGTTGAGGAAACGACTATGCAAGGTGAGGAAATAAGTTCTTGTGGAACAATTAGCATATCTTTTTTTTTTTTCTCCTTCAGGATGAAGTTTGACTTTGGTTTCTCTCTTTCTAGCTGCCGTGACAACAGTGCCAAAGAAGAAAAAGAAGATCAAGGATCTGAATAAGAAAGATGTCGGAGATGTCCTAGATGCCTTCAAAGAGGTTTGTATAATATGACATGTCTTGGCTTTATTACAGTAGGACTTCTGTGACTGTTGTGCAGAGTACAGTTGTGCATTTATAAATCTTCTGTATCTGTTTCAGCCTGAGGAGGAAAAGCCTGCTCCTGAGCCAGAGAAAGAGCCTTCCCCTGCTCCAACCCCTGCCCCACCAGCTGAAGAGTCAGACGAAACATGGGAGGCCAAAGAGGACAAGCTTGACCCAGAAAATACTGAGCCTGAGGCGTCTAAACCTGTGGAACAGAAGTATCAATATAAAGAAGGTTAGAAGTCAGATTATTTGGGTCTCATTTGATAATGTTCATCCTGTTTTATATATTAGAGCAATATATCAGAGTGCTTTTATTTAAAGAGCAATTTACTGTAAATAGACTATCGTTTAAAAGTTTTCAGTCAGTAAGATTAGATTTAAATGTTTTTGAATAATCTCTTATTCTCACCAAAGCCGCATTTATTTTTATAAAAACAAAACAGTAAATCTGTAATATTGTGAAATAATATTAATATACTATTTTTATACATTTTAAAATATAAATTATACCTGTGATGGCAAAGCTGAATTTTCAACTGCCGTTAATTTGCCTGTCGCATGATCTTTCAGAACTTATTCTGAAATTTCAGTGTTGAAAACAGTGGTCTCACTTACCACAGACTTTTAAATATACATATTTACATTAATGCATTTGACATGTTTTGATAAAATATTTTTTGGAGTTGCATACATTATTTAAAAAAAAATTACTTTCATCGCATTTTTATGTGTTTAGCAGTGAATAAAATTAAACATTTTTAATTGATAACATTTGATGGGAATGCAAAAAAAAAAAAACTTGGAAAGCTATTACATAATGTATCAAGACTTTATTGATTTTTAGTTTGTCTTGAGCAAGGCAAATTCACTGTGTCTTATTCTAAATGTTTGTGGGCCTGTTTAGCAACTTTTTTTTTTTTCTCTTCACTCATTTGCAGAGCAATGGAAGCCCATCAACCCAGAGGAGAAGAAACAATATGATCGAGAATTCCTGCTTGGCTTCCAGTTCATTGGTGCAAGCATGCACAAGCCAGAGGGTTTGCCGCACATCAGTGACGTTGTCTTGGACAAGGTGAGGCTTATATCTGGACACAACAGGTTTAACCTGTACCTCTTGCAAAAAATTATAATCACCCTCTTGCTCTTCGCTGTTTGGACAACAGGCAAATAAAACCCCCTTGCGACCCTTGGATCCCAGGAGTCTGATGAACTGTGGGCCTGATTTTACACCTTCATACGCTAACTTGGGTAGACAGTCATCTGGCGGAGGAGGGCGAGGACCGGTAAGTTGACTCTTTCTTTACTCTCATGATTCGAAATTCAGTTAAAAGTAAAGTGCCTGTATGTTGAGATCGATCATTTATTTTTAAAAGTTGCACTCTCAGTCTGCACGGCGCCCTCAGCCAGGTCGAGGCAAAGACCAAATGAATCGCAACCCCAAGATCATCACCAGCTTGTCTCTTAAAGACAATGTGGAACTGAACCAGGCTGAGAATGCTTGGACGCCTTCAGTGAAGAAGCAAGTCCGAGGTCGTGGAGGAGAGGAGGATGAGGAAGAGACCGAAGCTGTGAAAACGCAGGAGCTGTTTCGCCGCGTACGCAGCGTCCTTAACAAGCTCACGCCACAGATGTTCCAGCAGCTGATGAAGCAGGTGACCGAGCTCTCTATAGACACAGAAGAGAGGCTCAAGGGTGTCATTGACCTTATCTTCGAGAAAGCCATCTCCGAACCCAACTTCTCTGTAGCTTATGCCAACATGTGCCGCTGCCTTATGGGGGTGAGTAACTTTCATCTGTATGTTGGCTTGCTTGTGTGGGCTCCAGTGATGACTTCCATTTTGAGCCACTTGTCTGGGCCACTGATATACTCTGATTGGATTTAGGAACTGCTGATGAGCTTTTGATGGTGTTTGTCAGGAATATGTTTTATTGATTTGTCCTTTCTGCAGATGTAGATTAATTTCATTTTTAGTGAACTATCCACTTGTTGTGGATCCGTGTTGTTTCTAGGGGTGGCTAGATACCACTTTTTCAGAACCGATCCCGATCCGATACCAGAAATTCTGAGTATCGGCCGATACCGATATTGATCCGATACCAGTGCAGTTTTTTTTTAATCGGTGTAGAATTTCTATACCTCAATGTGTGTTGAACTGATCATCACTTTTTTGTGTTACACACAATCTACTAAATATAGACAACTTTATTATAAAGAAAAGATAACAAACGGAAAAAACATATATAATCATAATCTGACAAAAATACTGTTATAAACTAGGTTAGTGGATAATTCAGTAGCAAAAGTTGCTCTAGAAAAATCATGAGTGCACAGTAATTTTATAAAATCTAAACTGTTAGTTAAAAAAAAACATTATTTAGTGGGGAACAAATAAAAGTGAATAAGTGTTGGACTTAATCTGGCCAAATGTTACACATTGCTCTTTGTATGGTTGTAAAATACATTCATGAAAAAAGTAATATATTTATATATAAATATATAGGGTCTACTATATAATTAAAAGCCATTTCTTTTAAATGTATAGCACAGTAATGAGGCAGCAACATATGATATATAAAACAAACAAGAAAGGCTATTAATAATCTGTCATTTTGCGAAAGTATTATGATACGAAAGGCTCAATCCAGAGCGGCACAAAGCGCTTATGCGCATCCCGTGCGCAGAATGATGTGCTTGAAGCAACACGGAGTTACAGTGTGCAGCATAGAAAAGTTCAAACTACCGAGGAAAGAGCCATTAATGCATAGTGTATTAAATCTGTGCGATAGTTTGAGCCTTTTCTTTTAACAGTTTTAAATCTCAGTTACTGTGCTCATGAAGAACAATTCATAGTGCTCTCTACTCCAGTGTTGTGGTAGAAATGAACACGATTTAGAAACAAAACGAAACTCCAGCAAGATAAAGTCCTTTTATGCAAAACCAGATATCTACCTGATAAACCAGATAAAACCAAATATCAGATCTGCGCACCCCTAGTTGTTTTAAATGCATAAGACTTTAGTTCATCTTCGAAACATACAAAAAAACAAAGATTTGGCGCTCGAGTGAAAGTCCTTTTTTACCAAAAATGTGTTGCTTCACAAGTTAATAAAAACATTGTTAAAAAAATCCATATGTATCAAGCTGTCTATTCCAATTCTTCTGAAGAGACTCGACCTATTTATGATGAACTGATTTAAATTTAGCCTTTTATTCACATAAATATCGATCAACGCACATACATATAGAGCTCATCAAATACGGTCTATAAGAGGCTTCAACGTCCTTGTTAGATGTGTGTAAAAAAAAAATTTAAAACACCTTGTTGGTTCTGGCACAACAAACCTGCACATTTAAGCTTTTGTGCTTACCACATTGAAGTAATTGATGACAGGATTACTTGGCTGTTTACCTCATTTTTTAAGAAATGTAAATGGGGAATTATTGAAATATTGTTACTGTTTTGCTTTTCCAGCTTAAAGTCCCCACTTCAGACAAACCGGGAGTCACTGTGAATTTCCGTAAACTACTACTCAATCGTTGTCAGAAGGAGTTTGAAAAGGACCAGGATGATGACGAGATCTTTGAGCAGAAACAGAAAGAGCTGGATGCTGCCGCTGAGGTGACGTCTTGCCACATTTGTAAACAATCAACTCGGTACAAGGTGTATGAAATAGTTCTGTTGAAATTAAAGCGGTTTTATTTTTACCTTAGGAAGAGGAGCGTCAGCGCCTGAAGGAGGAGCTGGAGGAAGCCAAGAACAAGGCACGTAGACGGTCGCTTGGAAACATCAAGTTCATCGGAGAGCTGTTCAAGCTGAAAATGCTGACAGAACCCATCATGCATGACTGCATTGTCAAGCTCTTGAAGAACCATGATGAGGAGAGCTTAGAGTGCCTCTGCCGGCTGCTCTCCACTATCGGAAAAGATCTAGACTTTGAGAAAGCTAAGGTACAGCACAATTTGTATTTATGCGGAATGCTGTGATTGACCAGTCAAATACCCATCAGATTATGAGCTTCACAGTTATGTTAGGTCTACATTCCTTTTGCGTGTAGTATATTTTTTTTGTTGTATAGAATGTTATAGTCGTTTACTTTGTTACTGTCAGATTTAATGTTACACTATTGTATGCAGCCTCGAATGGATCAGTACTTCCACCAAATGGAGAAGATCATTAAAGATAGGAAGACCTCTTCTAGAATCCGCTTCATGCTTCAGGATGTTTTAGACCTCCGAAAGGTAACCACATGCTTTGTTTAGCAAGTTTTCTTAGTAACAGTGGCATTTGCACAAGTATTTGGTATTTAAAACACATATGGTGTGTTTCGGTTCTTCTCACTATTTATGTCTTCATTCTTTTAACTGTGTTATATGGGCTCTGTCACACAGAACAACTGGGTGCCCAGAAGAGGAGATCAGGGTCCCAAAACCATTGATCAGATCCATAAAGAGGCAGAGCTGGAAGAACATAGAGAGCATATCAAAGTACAGCAACAGCTGCTGTCTAAGAAAGACTCCAGTCAGGGTCGAGGGGGCCGTGGTGGGCCTCACTCCTCTGGGGGCCGTGGTAGCCAGACCCAAGATGAGGGCTGGAACATAGTGCCTATTACCACTAAGAACAGACCGATTGACACCAGCCGCCTCAGTAAAATTACTAAGGTGAGGCTTTGTGACGTTTTTTTCCGTTTTAGAATGTGACTTAGAATTTAGTTGTTAAAAAAATTACATGTTTTCATAGCATAATGATTTCAGTTGTTTGATGTGCTTAGCCATATTTCTCCTGTCTTTTTTCTTCAGCCTGGTGATTTTAACAACCAGCTGCTGGCTCCGGGAGGAAAAGGCTCATGGGGTAGCTGGGGCAAAGGGAGCAGTGGAGGCACAGGAGCCAAGTCCACTGGAGATCAAGGTGAGCAATCGCCCAGTCTTATTTACCTTGGACCTCACAAAGCATAGAGAAGTCTTTAGTAATGTCATAGATAGACTGTTAGTTTTAATTGCTGCTCTTTACCAAGGCAGTGGACATGAGTGATACCTCAAATCATGTGACTTTAGGAAAAGTGCTATTACTTTTCATTGAAATTAGACTTACGTTTTTGTGGTGGATGATAACACTGGCAGAAAAATAAAAATATAGACCGGTGTTTGTGATAAATGAAGACACAAGACTGGGCCCCTGGTTGAGAAGAACTGCTATACATTGACAGAGGGTCACGAGTCTTATCTATTAACCAGTGTCTTAGAGACTTGGTGGTCTCTTTTTGTCTTGAGCCAGTTCTTCTTAACCACAGAGAACATTGTAGCAACAACTCTTAGCAATCTTAACAACAGCATAGAAACCACCCTCAACATTGTAGCTCGTGTTTTGCAGGCATCACTCATTTTCTTCAGAAAATGTAAAGATATGGTTGTCAGTGTTTTTTTGGTAAATGCAAGTCTAATGCTGTGCTTTTATCTAATGCAGACCAGGGGAGACCGGCCACTAGCACGCTCAACCGCTTCTCTGCATTGCAGCAGTCTGGACCCCCTTCATCATCATCCTCCTCCTCACTTGACTCTGATCGTAGAGTGCCTCAAAGGTAATTTTGTAGTGCTGTTTTTGTTTTGTAGGGTAAATGAGTACTAACATCAACACTGCAAGAAATCTAATTGCACATCTGCTGTGCAGGAACAGCTCCAGTAGAGACCGTAGCGATAGAGATCGCGGTGACCGAGACCGGGATCGCTTTGAACGATTCGATAGTAGGCGGGAAGACCGGGACCGAGGCCTCGACAGACCCCGTCAGACCATCACCAAACGCAGCTTCAGCCGTGAAAATGAGGAGCGCAGAGGCGGCGACAGCCGTGGGCCACCGGATTCTGTACGCCGTGTGGCCAGCATGACAGAGAACCGCGATCGAGGCAGTCGAGAGCGTGATAGAAGCAAAGAGACAGGTAAGAGTCAATAGTCTTAAAGAACTGTGCAGTACAGATCTTTGAGTTGAGGATTCATAAATTGATCAACCCTTTACCTGGTTGGGTTTCTCAGTGAAGCCAGTGTCGGCTCCTGCTCCACCACCACCTGTTCAAGCCAAACCCGCCCTGAGCGAGGAAGAGCTGGACAAGAAATCCAAATCAATAATTGAAGAGTATCTCCACATCAACGACATGAAGGTATGTACATCCATATATATTATTGTACATACATAATATATTATTATTAACTTACGTTATTCTTGTTACTCTTTTGTAGGAGGCGTTGCAGTGTGTGCAGGAGCTGAACAGCACCTCTCTGCTCTTCGTGTTTGTACGGAACGGTGTAGAGTCCACTCTAGAGCGCAGCACCATCGCTAGAGAGCATGTGGGCCTGCTGTTTCAGAAGCTTGTTAGTGCTGGAATATTACCTCCTGAGCAGTACTACAAGGGGTGAGTTCAAAGACCGCTGCAGTTTATTATTCCGTGCAATAATATGGCAGAGATGCGCATAATGACATCTGAACATTGTAGCCACGTTTTCCACTCATGACCTATTCATGCTTCATGTTTTTAGTGTTGGTCAGGAAAGAAAGCTCTCAAAATGCCTGTTTTTTTATGTAAATGATTTTAAATTGATGATTTTTTTCAAACCTTGGTGTTATTGTATCTATCTGCTTTTATGTTTTGGTCTTTTTGATTTCATAAAAATTTAACTGCTTGCTCTAATGTTGCTGCCAATATTCTTACTGGCCCTACCAAAAAAAAAGAAGAAATTTTTCTCTTCCCAGATGTGTTTGTTTTAATTTGCTTAAATATGTAAGTAGCTAGATGATAGAAAATTTAATGAATCAGGACTATTTTATTTGCTTTTGTCTATTTTAATACAGTAGTCAAAACTGTTCATCAAAGTTGTCCTAAAACCAAAACAGTACCGGTTCTTGTCTTAGGACAACTTTGAACTTTTTTTGATCCACTTCAAATGTTGACTACTATATTTATCTTTAAGTTGTAGTTTTAATAAAATAAGTTTAAGTACTAAAATGATTTCAATTAGCTTGAGGTTTCATGATTTCTACACAATATAAATGGTTTCTTTGTGGCTGTGCACTTATTTTATTGTTTGATTTCACCCACTCTAGACTGCAGGAGATTCTGGAGATAGCAGATGATATGAGCATTGACATTCCTCATATTTGGCTCTACTTGGCTGAGATCATCACACCCATGTTGCAAGAGGGAGGCATTCCCATGGGCCAGCTCTTCAGGTTAGGCACTGAACCTTGGTTTTCAGATACCTGTATGCAAAGATTATAAACCATCAACTAAAACCATCTGACCTTTTTAAATCATCCACAGGGAAGTGTCCAAACCTCTTCTCCCTATGGGCAAAGCAGCAATCTTGCATGTTGAAATACTTAACCTTCTCTGCAAAGGACTGGTAAGTATCATGCTGTGGCAAATGCTTATGAAATATTTGCATATATTGCAGTTCCAGAGTTTTTTTTTTTACACTTCTCTATAATGTTCTCAGAGCCACAAAAAAGCTGGAGTTATGTGGTTGGAGGCAGGACTCAGCTGGAAAGACTTTCTGCCTGAAGATGAGGATGTCAATAAGTTTGTTACAGAGCAGGTACAGAAAGCTGTTTTGTACAGTATTGACAGGGTCAACATGATTTCTGGAATGTTTTTGTAAAAACAAAATTACTGCACAAATATTATTGTGCTCAAATGTTTTTACTGGCAGCACCCAAAAAGAATACTTTATTTTAAGTTTAGTAATCATCATAACTCCTTTTTCATGATATTATTCTTATGATGATCCTTTGCCTTCAAGAAATTTTCTCTGACAGTGCCACAAAAGAACGAACCATTTTTTTTTGTATTTGCGTGAAATGTTTCATGAAGTTCTTTTCCTCTGCAATAAAATGTTTGTATATTTTACATGCATTTGTACTTAGGCACACACCATATATACACACACACACACATGCATATACTGTGCATATGTCTTTGTGAGCCTGAAGGTCATTAAAGATCTTATATTTGCAGAAAATGGAGTTCACTCTGGGTGAGGAGTCTGAGAAACCCAGTAAGAAGGAGCTGACTGCTGAGGAGCTGAGTAAACATTTGGACAGGTTGTTACAGGAAAAAGCCAACAACCAGAGGATCTATGACTGGGTAGAGGTGAGTGTGTGTGCTTTGGCGGTGATTCAAGGCTCTTTAATCAAACATTAAGGTATTGCAGCGATCTGCATTATGGGTATAACATTATGCACATGGGACGTGTACCGACTGGCGTTTCTCTCCTTTAAAGGCCAACCTAGATGAGCAGAAGATGAGCTCCAATCAGTTTGTGCGGGCCCTGATGATGTCTGTGTGTCAGTCTGCCATTATATGTGAGTGAATCTATTAGATGCAATCCCCTTCCCTCACTTAAGATCTCTCACTTTTGACTTCAGACCTGAACTTGCACTGACTTGTACTTGATGTTAATTGTGTGCGTTAATGAACTGTTTTAGGTGAGAACCCCTACAAGGTGGATGTGGAGCAGATTACCCAAAGGGCCAAGCTGCTGCAGAAGTACCTCTCTGATGAAACGAAGGAGCTGCAGGCACTCTATGCTCTCCAGGCTCTCATGGTGCAGATGGAGCAGCCCCAAAAGGACTAGTGTTTTTTTGTTGCTTTGTTTGTTTTTTCAGTAATTTTTCAGCATTAATGATAGTATTTAAAGTTTTATTGTTAATCTCTATGCAGTTTTTTTTTGTTTGTTTGTTTGTTTGATTTAAACTGCTCTTCAAAACTTTGTGGTCAGTGAGATTTTTAGCACTAAAAGGTTTATGCTTACCAAGACCAAAACCATTTATTTGATCAAATTCTGTAAAAACAGTAATATTGTGAAATAATATAATTTAAAAACTATATGTAATTTAATCTTGTGATATAAAAGCTGAATTCTCAGCAGCCTTTACTCCAGATAATTCTGAAATCATTCTAATATGCTGATTTGCTGCTCACGAGACATTTCTTATCAATGTTTAAAAAAAACATATGGTAATATCTCTGTGGAAATGGATACCCCCCCCCCC